TGTCACCAGGCAGGGACAGGAGGCAACAGGATGACTAAACACAGCTTCCCAGATGATAACTGAAGTATAAATGTAACCCAGCAAGGGTGATGGAGTTAAATCAGAAGACTGTCCCACACGTTCCCAGAACAGAAGCCACCCTGACAGATGGCTGCCACGTGCCAGGATGACAGGTGTCAGCCCACAAAGGAAGCTCTGGGAAGTGAGGGCCAGGGACGCGACCATGGGTTGCGGAATCTTCTGACAAGGGGTTTCCCGTTTGCTTGCACCACAGTGGAAGCTCATCATTTCATTTGACAAGAACAGCAAATCTAAACAGGAAAGAACTCCCACGTGAGATCTGTGGTGGTTTGAATAGGAACGGTCCCCATAGGCTCATGTATTTGAATGCTTGGTCCTTAGGGAGTGGCACTACTTGATAGGGATTAGGAGGTGTGGCCTTGTTGAAGCAGGTTTGGTTAGCGGAAGAAATGGATCATGGGAGTGGGATCTGGGCTTTCAAATGCTCAGGCCAGGCCCAGTGTCTCTCTTCCTGCTGCCTAATGATCATAATGTAGAACTCTCAGCTACTCGTCTAGCACCATGTCTGCCCAAGTGTTGTCATGCTTCCGGCCATGATGACAATGAACTAATTAAACCTCTGAACCAGTAAGTCAGTCCCAGTTTAAATGTTTTCCTTTGTAAGAGTTTAAGTGACCATGGTGTCTCTTCACAGCAACAGAACAGTGACTAAAACAAGATCTGTAGTCCTAGCACTTGGGAGGTAGAGGCAGGAAGAACATAGTTCAAGGTCATTCTCAGCCACACAGTAAGATCAAGGCCACTCAGGGCCACAAAGGAAAAGACACTGTCTTAAACCTCTCCCTCCCTGCTCCCACCTCCCTCCCTTCCTCTCTCTCTCACACACACACAGAGCAATTTTTAAAATTCAATATCAATAATAGCAAAACTTTTGTTTAGAACAAGAAAACAGCAACAGAAAAATCATTATCTGAAGAAAGAAACTAATTTTTCTCTAACTCATTATTTTCACATATCCATTTAAGCCCTAAGAGAACAAATACACAGACTGTTCAAAGGATTTAATGCTATCACAGAATGACTGCTTTAACTTTCAAAACATGGAAGCCAGTATGTGGCTTTCTCCCAGATACCCCAAGCAGCAAAGAACTGCAGAAAAGCAGACAGACTGAAGACACTGGCAGAAGTAGACCAGAGAATGAAGACAGGCCTGAAGCCCACAGCTGCCCAAGCCTATGCACCTGGCTTGCAGCTGCCCCAGCCACCTCCCACAGCTGCCTACACCTACACCTGTGCACCTGGTTTGCAACTGCCCCAGCCACCTCCCACAGCTGCCCACACCTGTGCACCTGGTTTTCAGCTGCCCCGGCCACCTCCCCAAGATACCACTAGTAATCCAGAGGGCTACATGCCTTACGTCAGAGTCAGATGCTAGATCCAATCAAACAGAGTACACTAACCCTGTAAAGCTTATTTAAAGGACTCCATGGAGGTCAGACTGTCCTACTCCACAAGCCCACATAAACAAGCAGGGTGCGCAGGCTGAGAAGATGGGGTGAGGGCAGAGAACACCCTGGACCATCATACCCATCCCTACTTCTTCAACGTGGGCAAGCAGCAGCTTACATATCAAGCAAACGACCACCCTCCCAAAGCTGGTGGACCCAAATCTCCTAAGGGATGGAACCCTTACACTGCACATGCTGCCCACCTCCAGCCTAGTACACCTAGTACAAATGCCAAGCCTAGGTGAGCAATGAGCAACATAGCCGGGCCACACACCTCCAGACTCCAGGCTACAGAATGTCGGCAGTGCCACGCACAGGCCACAGGCTCAGAGGCATGCAGACAGAACTCTGCTTCTCTTCCCATGTTACAATTTACCCATTTGGGAACACCAAGAGGCCACACTGAAACACGAAGAATTGTCTTAGAGCTGGCCAGCCAACCAGTGGGAACGCCAATGCACTCTCAAGTCTGAGGACCTGGCTTGCTGGGTTTTAATGACAAAATGGTCCAGAGTCTGGTTAAGGTTTAAAGCTCTGGGCTCCCCACAAGGCAGAGGCAATCCAAACTATGTCCTTTCAATCAAGTTACCTCATTTCTCTTCCTGAGCCTCAGGTGCATGTGTATATCTATTTCTCTGTGGTACTGGGAACTGAACTGTGGGCCTCACGCTCACTCCCCAAGTGTTTTACCACTGAGTCACATTCCTTGTTCTCCATCGAGTTTTCTTTCTCTTTCCTTGAGACAGGACGCTGCCATGTAGTCCAGGTGGGCTCCCAACTCATGACCTCCCTGCCTCAGCCTCTTGGTGCAGAGATTGCGCTCCTCAGTCTCTGTAAGTTTAGAGAGGCTGAGGGTTGCTTTGTCTTTTCCCCAAACACTCTGCAACCACTTAATTACACTTACGCTCTACTGAAAGGAGCTTCTGGTTTAAGTAAGAGAAAACATCTACCACGTAAAGACCACATATGTGCAGGAATATAACCTCAATCTAATTTTTAAAAACTTCTCTTCATATAAATGAAAACACTTTAAAAACAAAAAAAAAAATCTGCCAAGTTTGGGTGTTCTGGCGCCATGGCCATTACTTCCTTTTGAGACTCTAAAAGTCAAATGCTTATTGTGTTTGTTCTAAAATAAGTACAATGAATGGAAGTCTGCAGCCTATGGAAAAAGACCCCAAAACACACTGTGTGACCTCAGTGAGAGGACGGGGAGTGGGTCCACACTGACATTCCTGGAGCATTTTAGTCCCGGCATTGGGAATGAGCCTCTTCCCTTCCTGGAGAGGACAACGGGATGCCTCTGTCCCACAAATGGGTGTTAGGTGTGACCCCAGGCTTTCTGCTGTGTGCTGGGGACTGAGCATCTATGTTGACCAAACTCCTACCTCAAACTCTGACCCTTCCCTGCCTTCATGAAGACACTGCAAACAGGGCGGCAGGCCCTCATCAGGCCCTTGAACTTGGGTTGTGAGCATCCAGACCTATGGGAAAAGCTATCTGTTGTCTGAAACGCTGTATAAGAATATGCTGCTGCATCAGGAGTGAACTGGAATGTTTCCCTGGCCTTTCCCAGTTTAGTGCCATGGCCCTGATGCCCCATTATCAATCTGCAAGGTTATGTGTGAACTGGTTCCTGCCATTATAAAAAACTCATGAGCATTAAACAGGATAAATGTAAGAAACAAGAAGTCATGGAAGAAAGTGAACCCATACAAGCATACTCTGGTAGCCCACAAGGAACAACCATTCCCTGAGGGCTAGAGGTACCTGTCTTAGGCATGGCGTTTCTGCTGGAACTCCTCTGAGCCCTCTACAGTCTCTAAGCAGGCGGCTGTATCATAGAAGTCTAGCTATGGATGCAGGTAGTCAGCCAGGTCTGCCTATGACCCTGTCGGGGCTTTCCAATCTTTCAGCCAACTTGGTCAGCTTGCAGTGGTGCCTGGGCCATTTAACAGTGATTGTAAACTTCGCTGTGAGTCAGAATGCATGCCTTGGAAAGATCTCAAGTGTTTCCTTGCTTAATCTTTACAGCCCCCTGGTTACCTGGGGAGCAGCCATGAGGCTGACAGCAGGGTGGCTGCGAACTATGTGCTGCAGGCAGAGGTGCCTAAGGAACCTGGATGCACGGGAATGGAGAAGGGAAGGCAGAACCCAGAGCCGTCATGCTGCTTCTCAGGGCAATCCTCGGCTTCCTTGGATTTTTTACCGGGAAGGATGAAAAGCAGAATGAGACAGAAGGAACAAAACAGGACCAAGTGCCAGAAAGCAGGTGACTGTGAAGCAGAGGAGGAAAGAGATGGCAAAGTTCTGGAAGAGCCTGGCTGCCACAGGATGAGGGAGAATACAGCCATGGAAATGTGGTCAGTGCTCACTCTACTACAACAGAAGAGCGGTCCCCACAATCCAGCTGGGGAGTTGGTGGGAAATCCCAGACCACTTAGCCAAACAGTGCCAAGATTACGGTTTCTGTTTTCTGATTGGGTCTCCTGCAACCTAGGCTAGCCTCAAACCTAAAATGTAGCTCAATTCCTGAACCTCCTGACTCTACCTCCAAATGCCGAGGTTACAATCATATGCCACCATACCTAGTTTACATAGTGTTGGAAGTTAAACTTAGGACTTCATGCACTTTACACAGATATTCGCTGACTAAGCTACACTCTTAGCCCCTGTTCCCGGACTGCATCGCTGGTAAGTTTTGTTTGGGGTCTATGACCAGCAAGGCTTTTTACCTTTACCCTTCTCTAAGGATTCCAGGCCTGTATTACTCTGTTCCCTGCCAATCTCCAACACGGAAGCAAGGGGCCAGAAGTAGCTTGTCATGTGTAGATTTAGACCAAAGGGCTCCGGACTGACTTCCCCCAACTGCCATCAGAAACAGGAACTTTCCTGGGGAGTTTCCTCCTAAGACCTCAACTTTAAGCTACTTTTTCTGCAAAACTTCTAGTCCCCGAGGCTAGAGGCCACCCCTTCCTTCTGTCCTGTCTTACTGGGGTTTTTCTCATAACTTACAGCTGGCATCACCTTCACTGACATGAGTATGTCCGTCCGTGTACCCCCCCCGCCCCCCGAATTGCACTGTCTCTAGAGGTGGGCAGTCAAAAATAAACCAGTAAGATAAAACAGTTTCTTGGGCTGGCCCACACTCTTAGTCCCAAGTTATAACTTTATTATCTGGGGTTCAAAGTTTTTTCCCCAGGAACAGATATCAAAAATTTAAGCCTTTCATCCTGAAGACAGAGCCAGGTTGAGAAGGAGCAGTTACAGCCATGAATCTGAATGCGGTGGCATTGACGGAGCTTTGAGTAGCACAGTGACACACAGGTGCCATGGGGGACCGCTCTACAGTGCCCCCTCCTCCTCTGAGCACAGGTCTGAAGGTGGAACTAGAAGCTGCCGCGTGCTCCAACACAGACGCCCACACACTGCAGGGTGGGAGTCGTGTGTCACAAAGCCCTAGGCATTTACCGTCCTGGAAGACCCGCTCCACGTTGAGCCCATAGGTGGCGCACGTCTCATAGTACGTGCACCGCTTCAGGTCATTGGAGAGTTTCCGTGCCCTGGCATCGTCGATGACCCGCGGGTTGGTGGAACTTATGGCATCTGCAACAGACAAGGACAGTGAGCTCGTTAGCAATTGCTTCCCGCGACTCTAGAACCCACGTGACAAACCTGTCCCACAGGCATTGCTTTCTACTGCTCTGGGACCCTTGCAACTCAAAACCCATCATAGCCAATGCAGATATCATTCCTCCCAGAAGCTGCAATTCTGAAAATAATTCACCCAAAATAACAGGCTCAAGCTACAGAACAGTGGGGGCAAGGAGGCCCGCCCCTGCCCTGACATTTGGGAGGAATGCCTTCAAGGCCAGCATGAAAAGATTCATAAACCTATCCTTTGGGCTCACTTTCTGGTCTCAAATAAATAAATATATAGATAACAATAACAAAAACAAACATAAACCCAATATTGATCTGGGACATTCAGTGACAATACCATCCCCAACAGAGGTTCCTCAGAGACAGCCCACCAGCGAACATCTGTCTTGCTGGACAAGTGCGTCAACAAATCATTTACACCAACTACGGAAAGAGGCCCTTTAGAAAGGTCTAAACATCCCTTCAAGCAAAACAGGAAGGGAAAAAAACAATTAGAAACCATAACTTCTTAAATTCTGTGTGTAATTCGGGAAGCACAGGCCATTGAGACCCCACCTAAGCCCTCATTTTATTTAGCCTGGGGCCCCGACAATCCTGCAGCTACTCCTCCCACAGATGAATACAGTTCTGTGTCACAGAGGCGTCTCCGGGCCTGCAGCTAGGCTCAGCTCTACCTGGCCCCATCTTGCACCCACTTTAACTTGGCAATTTTCCAAACCCTGCTTCTCCTTCTATTTGCAAGTCTTTGAGGGTAGAGCTGACCTAACTTAAAGAACACTGAGCCCCCACCCCCACCCCAAGAGTAGGCACAGCACTCATCCTTGCCCTAGAAGACACACTGAGCTCAGCAACTCACCAGCACTAATCTCTGAAGGCCTAGTATACAGGCCTAGGGTGAACGGATCTTCAGCTCCTTGCAACTTAACAACCTCTGGCCTCTAAAACTCCCTTCCCTAGCCAGTAGAAAGGAAACCATGTACCCTCTCCTACCACCTAACCAGCCTTACTGCCTATGGCCGCAGTAGTGGCACAGGTATCTTGGAAGCCCAGTGAGCATGGGTACTGACAGCAATCATGGGGAAGTCGCATAGAGTCCAGCTTCTTGCCGTAAGTGCCCTGGGTCCCATAGCCCATCACCAGCAAAAATCTACGCAGGGCCTCGGAACAACTGGTCCCACATTGAGATCTAAGAGATAAAAACAAACCTCGACCAAGGTCAAGTCCTAGGTTCACAGACAGATCCTTGACATATGACTTCCTTCTACCCATTCCTCAGTTTACCCTTCCAGAGCACTGCGAGACAAGCAGGGTCACTGGTCACAGTAGCTCTGGTCTAGGTGTGTGTGGGCCCTAGGCTTCTCCACCAACAAAAACAAACACTGGTATGCATGAGAAAATGCAGTAATCTAATCTGTTCTTTCTAGCCCAGCTGCGAGCCATGCGTCACCAAGAGTAGGAAAGTACTGCAGTCCACAGGGCTTTAACACACCAGGCCAGCTGCTGGGAACTGCCTGGCCAGCCAGAGGGGAAGCACTCATTCAGAATTCCTCTCTCCTGCTCCAAGACAGCTGTGGGGAAAACCTGCCCACGAGATGCACGAGCCTGAAACACCACTTGAAGGCCTTCCAGAGCAGTATCTCAGCCACGTTGCCCATGCTGCCCACTGCCATCCTCTGGGGGTAGGATTCAGGACTTCCTTAGGTACAAAATGCAAAGATGTGCCAATCCCTTCCATGAGATGGTGTGATACTTGAATAGGACATGTATTATCTGCCTACATACTTCAAGTCATCTCTGGGTTACCTACGATATCTGTATAGCATGTGCACCGTGTACAACACTTACGAATTCAGCATAGACTTCTTTAAAAAAAAAACAATGTCTCTTTAGATGGAGTCCCACTGTGTAGCTCTAGCTGGCCTGGAACTTGTTACAAAGACCAGGCTGGCCCTGAACTTCCACTTGAGCGCTGCTATCAAAGGCATGGGCCACCATACCAGGACATTGTTTTGTATTTTGAGACATTCTAATTCTGTAGCCCAGTCTAGCCTTTGGTGGCTATCTGTCTTCCTCAACCTCCCTAGTGTCAGGACCACACGTGTGCACCACCACACATATATTTAGTATTCTGAATCCTCTGTGGTTGGGCCCCACGAAGACAGGAAGGTTGATGGCACAGCAGTAAGAACCAAGGCACTGTCTCTAGGTGACCAGCAGAGGGAGCTATGGGAACAAAGATGTCTGTTTTGGTTTTAGGTTGGGTTGCCCTTTGGAGCAGCAGATTTCAGAAGCAAGAGAGACCACTGGCTGGTCACTGCATGCACTAAAACACAAGAGAGAAAGAATGTTCTCCATGAAAATGTAACTCCATTATTTTACAAGTAACAAACTGAGGACATACAGTCTGTCCATCAATACACTGCTTCTCCAGCTGTGCCCATAGTTTGAGTCTTGACTACGCTTCAACTAGTAAATACCAGATTTACCAATTCTAACAGAAATAACAAAAGTAGTTCAAAATTGACAAAAACTAAAAAGGAACATTATAATTTTGCTTAAATTCTTGGCTGGACTCCAGTGGCCAATGAGAGTGAGTCTGACTTAGTGACAATCACCTTACTAAGGCGCCATGACATGGAAGACAGTAAGAACCAGAGCCCTAGGTTCCCTGGGCTGTGAAAAAGCTGCTGAGTGATTCCTGGAGACAGAAAGAGTGAGGCTATCAGAGCTAGTATTCATTTAAAGGGACACTAAAAGTTAAAATAAATCACGTATTTGTTTTAATAAAAATAAATAAAAGCAACCTAATTAAAAGGTGTCTTGTGCAAAAGTCATTAAGGCATCATAATGCAGGAAACACTAGAGTGGGTTTTCCTGAAGCTCCTGAGGGGTCTGTGGAGTGGGGTCATTTCTCTCTAAGGTTGACTGACTTTTCCATGGAACCAATCCGGAAATGCTTCAGCCCCCACTTCCGTCTTCAAGTCATTCCAAATCACTCCATACTGGGAACATGTTCACAAAAACCTTCAGAAACACCCGTGCAGGGCTTGCACTTACCCTGGGTCCCCACCAGCACAAGTGGAATCTCACTGGTGTTCCTGTAGTTGGCCATTCGGCTGTAGTAGTGGTAGACAGTCTGGAAACTGATCTCATCCTCCAGGCTGAAGACAAAAATGACCGCGTCCACCCACATGGCAAACTGCAGAGAGAAGAGTGGAGAAGGGGCAGCTGAGGGGGCGCAGGAGGAGGTGTGAGGCCATACCTCTGTGAGCACCAGGGCGCTCCGTGGCTGCTGCCTGCTCCCTACTGCTAGGTACTGTGGCTAAGTCACCAAAGTCTTCCATGTATGCATGGGAAAGGGGCACCCCCACTCTCCCGGCCCCGTGTTTCCACCAGGGCCCTTAAGAGTCGACCTTCTGGCCTAACCCTGTAGATAGAAGGCTCCCCATCTGGGGACGGGGGGGGGGGGTGGTGGTGGTGGTGGTGTGTGTGTGTGTAGGAGGGCACTGCTCTTCTGTGGCCACACGGTCTGCTCAAAACTGTCGTGGTACCCACACTGCCTACCACCTGAGACGGATAGTGCCTTTTCTGGAGAGTTCCTGGTACATTCCAAACTCATTCAGCTCCCTGCTGGGAAACTATTACTTATTTTTAGGAAAGTTAAAAGGGGAGCAGTGAGGTTAATATATACCCAGCCCTCTCATGTCATCTTATTTACAGCAGCTCCCAGGGAGGGTGAAGCCAAGGGAGTGGGGCTCCCCGCAGTGCCCAGGAACCCACTCTCACAGAAGCTGACATGGTAGCTTCTAGATCCTGTCTGAGTCTGGCACCAAACACCCTTCTCTTTATGTGTATAAAGAAACAAGAGAGCCCCTTCTCTAAAAGAAGCTTATCCTGGGTGTTTATGGCCAAAGCAGGGCTCCCTAACCATCACTGCACATGCATGCATGTGTGCACACACATCAACAAAGAACGCCCAACTACAACAAACCATGCTCATTTAAATGTGGAGTATTTACACAAGAGTCTGAAAAACGCTCGTGTTCAAACGGCTCATGCTCAAGTCAAAATGACCTTGTGGCAAAGCTTTCTTGAGGCAGACCCACAGGACAAAGTATAGTAGTGCCTGCATAGAAGCCCGAGGACTGTCCGACATGGTGCCTTTACCTCGGTGATAGCTGATGTCAACTGTTGACTAAACCAATCTATGATCCCATAGGAGACCAGCCTCTGAGCTTGTCTACGGGGGGACTACTTTGATCATGCTGATAGAGATGAAAAGACATACTCACAGTGGGCAGAATCACCCTCTCGGTGTAGATCCTGGACTGTGTAAAATGGAGTGAGCTGAGCACTGGCATGCATTAATGCCCTGTTTTCTGCTCCTGGCTGTGAATGTCATGTGACTCGCTATCTCAGGTTCCCTGCTGCCCTGACTTGCCTGAAATGATGAGCTGCACCCTGGAATTCTGGGCCAGACAAACCCTCCCTCTACTAACTTATATTAATATGTCAGTGTATTTTACCACAACAAAGAAGCAACTAAGGCGCAGCCTCTTTCCGGAGGTGGAAAACGGAAGGTCTTGTCCTGTACGTCAGCACAGGACAGGGGCTAAGTGGCCTCAGGGAGGTGGCAGGCAGCCCCTGACTTGAAATCTGAAACACATCTCTATCTCTATGCAGAGGATAAGTCCCCCTTGCCCACTTCTCTAAAGGATCCTGCATCAAAAAATTGCAATTTTGAAGGGAAAAAATATGAAGGGCAATAGAGCAGTAGTGTCCGCCACTCCCAAAGCTAACAGCAGTAACAATTAAAAAAAGAAAACGAAGAAACAAACAAAAATCCACTGTCAGTTTCTTTTAGAAGGCCATGCCTTCAGATAGAGTCTATCAGCGGATTTATAACAATGCGAAGAGAGAAACCATGCCCACAAGTGAGCAAGGCTCTGCCGTGATGTTCCACAGACAAGTCTTTAACCAGGGGAAACGTGGGCTAGACATCACTTAAGGAAGAGCCCGCACTAGAGCAAGGGCTGCGTGCTCCGTTTCTCTGAGTACACACTCTTCTCAGGGAGCCCACACTGAAAACTCAAAGCAGAATGCACTCCTGCATACCAAGTCAAGTGAGGAGGACAGATTCTGTCTTTGAGTGGCACTGGTCAGAAGCCAGAGGTCGCCGTGATCCAGCAGAAGGTGGAAAGTGTTCAGGGAGCACGCCCTCTAATACTATGCAAGCCACATTTTCATTTTCTATGTGCCTTCATGGTCTTTATTGTACACTCAGGTATACCGTGTGATGGTTCAGGTCAGTTTGACAGCATCTAGAAACATGTGGGAGATGGTCTCTGGCCATATCTGTTGGTGACTACCTTGGCTGAGTGGAGGTGTGAAAATCCGCCCACTTCACCATTCCCTAGCTGGGATCCTGGACTGTGCAAGTAGAGAAGGGGGCTGAGGGGCAGCATGCGGTCATCACTCTGCTTCCTAGTGGTGGATGTGGTGTGACCAGCTGCTTCCACCTTCTGGCCATGATGGACTGACTGTGCCTTTGAACTGTGAGTCAGAATAAACCCTTTCTCCCTTCATTTGTTTTTCATGGGGCATTTTATCACAGCATTAGCAAAAGAAGCTAAGATACTGCAACAATGACACTAAGGGGAAAATGTTTATCTCCGTATCCCTGACTGTGCCTTCTAATGGCTTTTCATAGATCAATGGCAGCATTCTCCTGGACCCTCGTGTTACAGAGTGACAGAAATACAGCAACTCACAGCATTTCCAGGGGTGCTCGGTGCTTCAGCACCATCTACCTCAGTCACCGCCGCTATCTAATCCATCTTTTACAGGGAGAGATGATCAAGATAGAAATGTCCTGTGTGTCTGCCCTGGAGGGGTGTGGGCTGAGTTTAAGATCTTGGCTAGAAGATCAGGGTGTAGTAAGCCGGATAAAAACAGTGGTGCTATCTTTCTAGAAATTTTTCAAGGGAATCATGGTATATTACAACTAGTGTTCAGTGGGGGGCTGCTGGTGGGAGTGGGGGTGCCCACTCCTGTGCCTCCCAGTTCCACCCAATGACCCTGAAAATGATGCTACTCTGGCATCAAATTGGGGGTGGGAGACAATTTTTTAAAAGCACAGAAATTTCTAAAAGTGACCCTGACAGAATATGATAGCAGATATATCTGCTTTTCCTTCCTTCTTAAAAACTTTAAAAAAAAAGCCACATAGAGCCAAACTTCATGGGTTTCTAAATTCCCTTATTTTAAAACTTGACATTTCTTGTTCAGGCTTTTAGATAAAATCAAAGAGCAAAAGAGAGTCTGGCTTGGATGTGCATGCGGTACTCACCTGTGCCTCCGGGGGGCCCCCTTCATCCCTAATCAGAAGTAGATAACTCTGTCCATCAACCACAATCTCCTTCTTGAACCTGCCACCTGCCACACACAAAAGGCACCATTACAGAAGGCAACAGAGGATTGGGGGCAGACAGACACGGGCTTCACTTGCGGAAAAATACACTCTAGGCCAGGTGACCGCTGGGGCAAGCTGGCCGGGAGAACAGAGGAGTAGATTTTAGATGTCTCCCGCAGTGCTGCATTCTTAGAGCTGAGCTCTGATTGAAACATGTGTCTAAGAACCCGTGCTCCCTTCTGGTTAGCAGGCACGGCCTCCTGTTGCAATGCCAGGAACCCTGGCTGAGGAGCGTAGGCTTTTCATGTAGAACTTAATACATAAATCGAAAGATTCTCACCCACTGGGAAGGGGGCGAGGGTGGGCTCTCAAAACCCAGAAATGCTTTTTCATGCTTAGCAGCATCTGAGAACCTGCATTCTCCTCAAGGGAAACCCAGTGCTCGGGAGGAAAACATACAACAGCATGAGGATGGTGTCTCCAGAGTCACAGGTCACAGTTAGGGAAGGATGCCCGACTACTACACACGTTAGACAAAGCTACCGATGGAACTGCACAGTCGAGACAGAGCGGTGCAGCCAACTGACAAGCAGGTGTTAGAGACCACGTGGGGTTAGCAAGAGACCGCCTGGGGCCCTACTGGGATACCAGGACAAAAAGGAAGGAAGACTGGCAGAGGGCAGCCCAAAGTGGGCCACCAAACACATCCAGGACTGGACTACGAGGTCCGCACCGTGGAGACAGGCCACCTCCAGAGACACCTGCTCTGTTCTGAGACGCTCAGGTGGGACATGCATCAGTTCCTGGCTCTCCTCTTGGGTCCCCTGTGTAGATGCCTCACGGAAACGACCCTAACAAACCCACTGAACTAAAAAAAAAAGTTTGCAAGAACCTTCCAGAGCCACTTCTGCCACAGTCACAGGTCCGGGCCACCTCATCAACAAAGCTGAAGAACGAACTACATTCTCCACACCGACTCAAAGTGTCCAAGGCCCTCATTAAATAAGGGGTTTCGGAGGCCAAGGGGGACTAGCCATCCTTCCTACGCAAGCATACACAAATGTGAACACACACACACACACACACACACACACACACACCAGCCCTCTCTCCTCCTGTCTGCACCTGACTTGACTTAACATGGGACTCTTCTTGCCTGTCATCACCTATTCAATGCGGAACACAATGAACCCTTCCAACACCACGAGACACAAACACACACTTGTGCTGGGATGTTCCACCCTGAAAAGCAAAGCAGAATCCCAGGAAAGGGTCTGGTGGAGATGTTCTGGGGAGTGGGGTCTGTGTCAGCAGGGACAAGATAGCTGCCCCCTAGACAAGCTTGAGGACTTCCCGCATGGGCATGTCAAAGCCACAGGAGAACTCAGTGACTTTAGGTCCCTCCCCAAATCCAATTCAGCTAGAAGAGAGACGACTTCCCTTTTTAGAAGGCCTCTGTCCCAGCTGACACACAGAAGACAACCCAAGAACAACAGTTGAAAGTTCGCTGCACCCACACTCTATCATTATCAATTCTGTTTAAACCGGGCTCACCCCCAAACCCAGCCTCATCACAGTTATCTCCTCCACCTCAGTGACCCCAGCAAGAAAATGCCAAGGATGCCATCCTGGTGGGTAAGAAAATACGGAGTGCCGCACAGCAGCATGAGCAGCACTGGCTGGTACGACTGCTGCTGGTATTCACAATGCCAGCCAAGATCAGCTCATGCTTCTGAGAGCACATACCAACAGGCGAACAAACGCGAGGCGGGGGAGCCGTCAGCCTTACTTCCTTGATTTTACTTCTGAAATAAGAGACAGGGAACCTGATGTTTCTTGATGAGACAGAATGATGTCAAACTTCAAAGGAAAAACAATGTTTGCAAAGCAACCTGCCACTCCTGGCTCTGGGAAAACCCCTTCATTCCCACCCTGGGCCTAGAGATCAGGCCAGGAACACTCACCAGGGTTTGAATTTGTGTGGTGATATAAAAGTCTTTCCCATGGTCCTTTGAGATCTAGCTTTAATGATACCTGAGTGATGTAATCGTCCAGCTGCCAGAGGAACCACCTCTGTGGGTCACAGCAGCTAGCAGGCAAGCCCAAGACATGCTCTGAAGCTCCGTACACATAGGAGAAGGTGTGTATGTGGTCGACCTAAGGGTCTCTGGGTTTGGCTGGACAGTGGGTCCCTCCAGGGATGGAACTCTGCCTGTGTCCTATCTTCACAAGTGCCACCCAGTCATTCCAGCAGCTCCTGCCTGGTGCCTATGGAGGGAAACTCCAGTGCTGGATCTACGTGGGGCTTCTTTGTCTTGCTCTGGATGGTCTGGTCTCATGCTCATGTCCCCATTACAATGCATTGTCTCCACAGCAAGAGGCAAAGAATGGGACCCTGGAAGGTCCTGCAGCAGCAGCCCTGGCTCCCCCTCACCAGACATAAACAAGGACTCTCTCCAGTGACACTCTAGCCGGCAAGCACCCTACACAGAGCTCCTGTCTACTCCCTTGGACCTTGCCATGGGAGATGCTTCCAGACAGCTGAATCACTTTGAACCATCCTGGAATTCCTCATCTTTATAGAACAGATGCCACAACCACAAGTGAAGGGCTTTTAGACACATCCCCAGCACTGCCAAACTGAGGAGGGCACCTTCTTCCACCCCAGAGGCCTCTGACAGCTTCGACAACACTTACATCCTGAGATACAGAACTCGCAATTCCTATTTCAATGTTTCAGTTCCAAGAACACCCATGGGCGATAGGATTGTGCCCTATGAGGTTCCAGAATCTCAGCAAAATCAGGAAACAAAAGCCAACTAGAGAAAACCGCCCTGAGATAGTCCACCCAGGGACCAGGGAACAAAGACTGTGGGAAAGTAGACCAGGATTAAAGGGAACACATCACCACCTGGTAACTCTGCTGTGTTCGACACACCAGGGTCTGGAGAAACCAGGCCCAATAACTACCAAAATAACACACGACATTTGTCTTCCACCATTTCCCAGAGGGAAGTGTCATTGGCAGGAGGCTGGTGCCTGGCTAGCATCTCTGCGCTGAGGTCAGGATCCCAAGTCAGACACAGTGGATCACAACAGCTGGAGTTCGGGACCATTTGCCCAGGCTTCATCAGCCAAGCACCCTTGACCTGAATATCTCACGTGTTCTGAGAATCAAAAGTATTGTAGATTCTGGGATACGCTGGATTTTGTGTTTCATTGTTTACTGCTGAAAATTTCAGGATGTAACCAAATTCCAATTTCAATTTTATTGTGGATTTTTTTTAATGGAATCTAAAAGTCATCTTTGCCCAGGGGTCATGCAAAAGTTCTCGGCTTTTCCAACTTTACTGTATGTGCTGCCAACATACGTGCAAGTACTTACTATAGACTTAAAGTGTCTATCTGATATCCAAATTCTAAATTATTCTCTTACAAGTCTGCTTTGTCCAGCCATACATTGGCAGCACATGGCTGTCCTATGAAGCTGTCCTAAGAATGACTGCCAACTTTCTCTGACTACTGGTTATAATCACCCAACATTACACTGCACCAAGGTAGTTCATTTTCAAAAGGTGTCACCAATCCACACATGACCTCTCTGGTAGGTATCAATAACCTATGTCACTCTATCTGTGTGTGAAGGTGCCAATGCCAGGGTTGGAGGCCCACCCTATAACTCAGGACTCCCACACAGTTGCCTCCAGGGCTGGGAACCAAGACAGTGGCGCAGCCGTGTTCTCTGGCTTTAAAGCACACTTTTAAAGGTCTGATTAGGGGTGTTTCTCACCACCCTCCCTCAGCCAATTTCAAGGCGACTATTCTGAGACTCTCACTGCAGAATCAGCTCCAAATCTGGGGCACCACATGCCAGATAACTGGGTTCCTTCTGTTTCAGCTCACACAGGAGGAGCCGTCACGGTTTATTCCTCTTGCATGCTGGGCCAGGGTCCCATCTCTGTCCAGTTCTGATTTAAGGGGTAAAAATAAAAGTAAGTGGAATTTTCCTATTCCAAGAAAGGAACTGCCTGGAGTTACGCACTGCCACAGATGTCTGCCGTTCCTGTTTCATCATTCTCAGTAACTGGACTAAAAGTTGTTACTGCATCAACAGTTCTCCAAGCAACCAAGAGCGCCGGCAATGCTAAGTGCCCTCTCACACCGACACTGCCAAGCATCTCACTGAGTTATCCCCACAACTGTCTGTGACACATTCAGCAAAGACAGGCCCAGGGTCTCTTGGGAGCCGTTCAGACACTAAGGTACAGAAAGCCCTTCCCTCAGTCAGCCTGCAGATTCCTCAACCTTCCACTCTTCCACATGAATGCCAAGCTCCACATGACCCTAACGTGACCCTGTCTGCAGACAGTCCACGAGCCTGTGTGTCGTTCTCCTCACTCTGGGACGATGTGGAAGACGAAGGGAACTGGATAAGCCTTCTCCCACTCCACACTCAGAGGACTATAGTTCAAAACTATCCCTATGCCTCAGAGACCAAGAGGACAGACCCCCTTCAGAAACCAGGTCTTATTTGTGTTGACTGTCTGATCATGCACGCACAAATGAGGGCCTGAATAAAGTTACACTGAAGCTGCGTTTAAGGCCCCTACAAAGGGGAGGACTCATTCTCACAACTGACCCTAACCCAGTGACCCTTGCAGCAGGTGCCAGTTGGCCCAGAGCCCCAGTGCCGACAAAGGAGGAAGAACAGAAATGGATGGCGCTAGGTTTCCTCCACTTTTAGAAGATAACTTTCTTTTCCCCTCAGTTTCATGATGAAGCTGCAAATGTCCCGGCAAGCATCGTGGTCTCCCTGTCATTTAAGCAAAGGGGACTGAGAAGCACTGAGGACGGCAGGCCTCTGGGCTCTCCCTAAGGGAACAGAAAACAAACCAAATCACAAACGTGCCAAATGCCTTTAAAAATTAATGTGGCTTTTAAAACTATGTTAAGTCAGTACTTTATGAGACTGGGGCTTTGGAAAAGTTTAGTATTGTGATATTTAAAAGGAATTTTGGACCAC